TTGTAGTCAATAATAAGTAATCATAAAGTAAATGTATTAATCCACTATAAGCAAATGCAGTATATTCAGAGCATATTCAAAGTATCTATAAGTTGTTGTAGCAAAGAATATTGTAATATCCCCGCAATCAACAACCATCCAATTGCAACCAAATACATCCTCTTCTTACAAGTGAAGGTGTACAACTTGCAGCAAATGCAGGTACCCACGGGCCGTTGTAGGAGACTCGCTGTGTACCCAAAATGCCATATATGAACAAAATACCAGATGACTATAACAAATGTAAATGCCTACGGGCCACTAAAAGAGACCCGTTATACATCTAATACGTCATCCACAAGAAAGATAGAAGTGAGCTACAACATATGACAACATCTACCAACCATAGCAAGAGATTCGTTAGTGCATGGAATTGTACTCGCATAAAGCAATAAGTAATGCATGATAGTCTACATGTACAAAACGGTTAAATGACCACAATATGATGCCACGCCACTAGATCTGCAACCTGCATACAAGCAGATAGAAGGCATATATGAGCTTCCAAATAGAACACTACATTCAAATAAGGGTTTCCCACACAATTGAACAGGGTCAAATATTCTTGAAAATAGCCCCGCACATGCACTGTAATATGTATGCACATAGGTACACAGAAGGGCATGTATAATCACATAGCCGCATGGGCCCCGACGAGCGTGTTATAACTATATACGTGACGTCTAGGGATGCTACACGAGTCAATAAATAAACCCAAGTTCAAGCCCGATCTTTCTATGCGAGCATATAGGAGTCAACATTGTTCGAACCATCAAACAATTATACGGTCGCGATATTGATTGTGATATTTGTTTTATACATTCATATAAGGCCTTCAATGCTGATAATCTAGAAAATTCATTCACAAAGGCATAAAGCCTACAAGGAACTTGATTCTCTATTGACAGCTCAATAGAGTCGACAAGGTTCAATCCACAAATGCAAATGACCCCATACACCCCGATGATGACCGTGTTGAATGCTGATCTCAACCAAAGTGGTCAGTTTCAAATATGCAAAATGCCTTCAAATACCTACAAAATTCAAAATCTCTCAAGAATTTCAAAATCCAAAAATATTTAAAATTGAAATAAACTATCAAACAACTTAAAACAAAATCCATCCAACCTTCGCAATAGTTTGCAGAGGCGGACAAATTTGAAAATACATTTCAACTCACAAAGAGCTAATGTCTAGTCGAGAATATCACTAGGATTAATTTTAAAATAGCCTTATGCTAGTAAGGACGTGACACGTGTCCTCTAACCAGAGGTTTTGCCGCTGGTGGCACCGCCGGTGAATGGTTATGATCAAGGCCCTCTGAACAGGGTGGTTCGCCGTCAAATGACACCACTACATTGCGGTTATGGCCAAAGCCGTATGGTCCCCAATGACATCAAATTCTTGAGATATGAATCAATATGATCATAAAGTCCTCGCAAAATGAGGGCGAAATCTCTGGTTAGTTTCTTATCTACAATCCCAATCTGCCTTCCCAAAATTTACCTCAAAACTTAATCCGTTAAAACTCTCCTCGAAAAGCTACGGGGAAGGCCGTGGCTGAATTTTCAGAGCGCATAGGAATCAACTCCTAATCTAGCTTAACTAATAATCTATTTGATGTCAATGATTTAAAATATATATACTTATTACTAACATAAATAGATTTATGAGTTTTAATTAGTGTCTTATCTACAATCCCAATCTGCCTTTCCAAAATTTACCTCAAAACTTAATCCGTTAAAACTCTCCTCGAAAAGCTGCGGGGAAGGCCGTGGCTGAATTTTCAGAGCGCATAGGAATCAACTCCTAATCTAGCTTAACTAACTATCTGTTTGATGTCAAGATTTAAAATATATATACTTATTACTAACATACATAGATTTATGAGTTTTAATTAAAACTGATATAATTCAATAGCTATTATGTATGCTATTTTCTGAAGTTCAAATATTTATAAAAAAATAATTTTAATCTATATATGTATTTATTTACTTGATATTTGCATCATAATTATATCTCAAATAATATACCAAAATATAAAATGTACAAGATATATGATAATTGACATAAAAACATGGGAAATCACCAAACAACTAATAAAATTATTATTAATTTATTCGCTTGATATTTGCATCATAATTATATTTAAATAATATACCAAAATTTAAAGTGTATAAGATATATGATAATTGATGTAAAAACATGGCATAAATCATTATTAAATAGGCATTTTATTGAGCTCTTAGAGAGTTAGTTTCTTAATAATAATCCAACATGTTCTGAAAGATGAAAGACCAATGTTCAAATTTGTTCATTTATATATTGAGTTAATCATTTTTTTTTCAGGCATGTACGATTATTTGAAATAAATGAATGTAAATTAACCTTGAATGAGTATTGAACTGTCTATCCAGTCATCAGTTCTCTTACAGCCTTAGCAATCATTAGTCTTGCAGGCTTACACTTCGTTGGTGCTCCTTGTGGAGGTTCCTTCAGCTACACATCTTTGATCTCTTCTTATGGGATTGTAGATGCTCTTCTTGCAAGACTATAACGCTTCTTCATTTAGGGCTCAGTTGTATGCTATAACTCTTCGATTGTGGCTCTTTTTGTAATTGTGGCTTTTGATTTGATAGGAAACACTTGTAGATCTCAATTATTTCCTATAAATTTTCGAAAAACAACGAGAATTCTTCACAAGAATCCGCACAAAAACAAGAAAATAGTAGATAATTTGTATTATTTGTTAAAAGGGAAACGGAAAATAGCAAGATATAATTGATCCTCTATTTGAGAGGAGGATCGATCTCTCCCAAATCTCTAGACGCCGCTAGAGCCCAAAAGAAAACCTAAATCTAAGAGATCTCAAATTTCAGCCAAATTCAAGATGCCCTAACCCTAGGAAAACAAACTATTTAATGCATACAAATCAAAAGGAAATCCCTAAACAGTCCCTACATTCAAATTTCCCTCCCAATTACCTCACAAATCTTTCCAAAAAAGTTCCCTTGGCTTTGGCAGCCTGATCGGCCCATGCGACAGGCGGAACTCTCCGCTTGTTCTCTGCCTGAGCCGGTCCGTGTGGACTGGTTGGACCGGTCCAATGGACCGATCTAACAATCTAGTACATTTTCTCGGTGGCTTCTTTGGTGGTTCTATCTACCTTATTTTGTATTTTATAGGGTTCATAAATAAGTATCTTCAGGCATGTAATGAAGAATATATAGCTTAATAAACGTGCAAATAATTTTTCTTACGATCAAGTATGAGGCTTGAAGTATTTTTGGAGAAGCAATCTCCTTGTTCAAATTTAAGTCTTGCCTATCAATGCCTTCTTTCCATTTCATTTCTCTTCTATTTCTTCTGTCTTTGTTTTTATTTATTGAAAGTGTAATTGATTTTTGTCAGATTTACTACAATATGCTCTCTTTACACAATATTTCATTTACTTTCGTAATTCTTATTTGTTTGTTTTCATTCATTTATGCTAGAATAAAAATTTTTCACTTGAATATTTTCTAACCAAGTCTTTTTAGGTCTACCTCTATCTTTCATGGATTTCACCCATTTTTCGTTTTCATCTGAAATAGTAAATGTCTCTCTTATGTTTTTATTTTACTTTTACACAGAAGTTGCTTGTTAGCTGTAGAGGTTTTTCGCATTTATATATGCATGGCTTGTTAGAATAGTTGTCTTTAGAGAATTATGAGTCAAACTTTATCTTAATGGGTGATGTCCTTCCATTAGTATTATACTCATTTTGTTAGAATTAACAATACAACAACAACAACAACAACATTAAGCCTTTATCCCACTACGTGGGGTCGGCTACATGGATCTTTTTTCTCTATTATTGAGAATCTCATTTAAATCTAAAAAAGAAATGTCATTTCTAATATTTTCTAACCAAGTCTTTTTAGGTCTACCTCTATCTTTCATAACATAAGCCAAATCTAATACATCTACTTTCCTAACTGGGACATCGGATGGCTGCCGTTTTATGTGACCAAACCATCTAAGGCGACTCTCTCTAATCTTATCTTCCATTGGAGCTACTCCAACCTTTTCACATACATGCTCATTTCGTATCCCATCTCTAAGAGTAAAGCGACTTGGATTCAAAAATACATGGATATATTTTCATGCTTATGACGCAGACATGGATTCAACTAACAGGTTATTTTTTGTAACTTGGTCGTAAGTGATAGTTTCCTTGCATTAGTATTATAACCTCCTTGGCTTTTTGGTTTAATTGTTTTCTTATGCTGCCGTTAATAATGAACTCATGCAGTGTCTGACACGTATCCGACATGACACGCATCCGATACTCCTTCGACGCGTGTTGGACATGCTGAAAATGTGTCCAATTAAAAAAATATTTAATAAAAATTGGACACGCATGTCATATCTTAAATATTGTATGAATTTTTTAAAATAAAATTTCTTGTATTTAAAATTTTTACTTATTTAAAATATAAAAACTAAATTTCTTGTTTCCTATCTACATCACTAAATCAATTGCTCACACTTAATTCCCCATTCATCAAATATTTTCTTTTTCATTTCTCTTTGACACTAAAGCTATTTTCATCTCCTCTCTCGATGACTGATAAATGACATCGATGCTAGACTCTCGACATCCTAATATTAATTATTTTAAGCATAAATTCTAGTTAAATGACTTATTATTTTTAAATTATTTTAAAATTGTACTTAATTTTTATATGCTATTTTTAAAATATAAAATTTATAATACCGTGTCCAACTCGTATCCGTGTCCCATATTTCAATAATTTGCGTGTCCCGTGTCCGTGTCGTGTCCTATTTGTGTCGTCGTGTCCGTGTCTGTGCATCATAGCCCTTGAGCTGCAATACCCTATGTGCAATTTCAATACATTTACAGATGATTTTTTTAAAAAATTAGTTTAACTCAAGTTTTGTAATGATGTTTTATATAGGTCCACTATCGGGGTTGCTGAAGGACGATGGTAGAAGGGAAGATTGTGACCATCTGCCAGTATGGAGGAGAATTTGTTACCAATAGTGATGGATCTCTGTCTTATTCTGGTGGAGAGGCACATGCCATTGATGTTGGTCCTGACATGCTCTTTGATGAGTTCAACTCTGAAATAAGCAGCATGTTTAATATTGACATAGCATGCATGTCTATTAAGTATTTTCTTCCGAGTAACAAAAAAACTCTCATCACAATTTCTAATGACAAAGACTTACGCCGCATGGTTCATTTTAATGAGAATGCTACAACAGCAGAGGTTTATATCTTAAATAAGGTTGATCAGAGGTATCAGTCAATCATTATGGCATAGTATATTAGTTTCAATATTCATAATTTTTTTCTGACATAAAACCTTTATGCCTATCAGGACAACAAGGAGCATAGTAGCTGATTCTGGCACCTCTATTGTTGCTTCTGCTGTTCAGAACAAACGGAAGAGGCCTCAAGGTGGAGCCAGGTAATCATCTTATGATTAACCTAGTAAGCTACACGACTAATAAGACGAGTTTTAAGATGAAATATTGTTTACATAGGGCAACAAAAATCAAGTCCCGGGCCTCCGAATCAGGTACCTTTAATGCAGCTACCAATGTCATTGTAGAAAACGCCAACTCCATTGGACAGAGTACACTGACAATTTATGAAAATAACAGACAGATGAGGCCAACAACTACTGCTGAAAGTATTGATACAAGGTATTTTAGTCCACACCCATTTAGGTTCATAGAGTCGGAGTTCGGATGTTCGTAGAAAATTTAAATTGTCATACGCTGGTCATATGATGGCCAAGCAATTTTGCGAACCGTGATACAAAGATTCAATGTTTTAATTGATTAATTTAAAAATAAATTGGATGCTGTTGATTTACTTGACAAAAAATTCTTCGCAAATTTCATCTGCGTCAGGCAAAAGCGTTGCTTATATTAGGATTTTGCTCCTTGTTATGATGGATGTTTTCAAAATATAATGGTGATGCAGACAGTTTTTTTTTTGCTTGAATGTACAAAGTGCATAGCAAAAGTGTTGCTTTAAACAATATAATGATAAATTCAATGGTAATAATTTCTAACCATACAAAAACAAAAGAAGATACAAAGAGAATGGAGTGATGAAAGAGCACTTAAAAATCAAGAACACTCATGACATTTAGAGACCAATTAGACATCAAGAGCACTTAAACATACAAATTTCATCTGTCGAACAAGAACGCCGAACGCGGGGACAGACTGGCGCTGTGCCTGTACGCTTGTGCGGGTTAATCCAGATCAACTTCGGGTTAGCGGGTTGACCCGGACCCGATCCGTTTTTTCAAACGGATCGAATTCTAGAACCCGAACCCGACACGTTTGGGAAACGGGTTGACCCTAATCCGGAATTTTTTGGTCGGATTTTTGGGTCTTGTCAAATATTGAAACTCCTAGTCTTAGGGTTAGGGTTTAGTGTTTAGGGCAAAACATTGGATGCCACTAGTAATATCATAACCACATTGGCGTTAGTAGAAGGATATCACATGTGATCTCTCATAGAAGGATATCATATGTGATCTCTCAAGGGGAACAAAATGCATATAAGTAAAAACATCAAATATGCATCCCCTATCTGTACCAAATGTGGATAAATTCTTCTTGAAAATATCAATGTGCATACCAAAGGCTATTCAACTTTGACGCGTACCTAGAAGAAAATTCTCTTTTTTGGAGATGATTCTACATAAAATTTGTATAATGAAATGTAAGTCCCTAGGGGGTGAACTGTGAAATAGTTTGATCTCTGAATTTAGAGACTTCAATCCTTGTTTTAGTATATTTAGGCATCAATTCTTAGGCCATGCAACTCAACAACAACAACAACAACATCTAGCCTTTGTGCCACTATGTGGGGTCGGCTACATTAATCCTTTTTCGCCATTGTGTCCGGTTAAAGGTCAAATTCTCATTTAAATCTTGTAAAGAAATATCATTTCTAATATTTTCTAACCAAGTCTTTTTTGGTCTACCTCTAACTTTCTTAACATAAGTCAAATCTAATACCTCAACTTTTCTAACCGGGTCATCAGGAGGCCTTCGTTTAATGTGACCAAACCATCTAAGACGACTCTCTCTAATCTTATCTTCCATTGTAGCTACTCCAACCTTTTCACGTATATGCTCATTTCGTATCCTATCTTTAATATTTCCATTCAGTTCTCTCTCTTTCTTGATAAAAACGCCATCTCTATCTCAAATATCAAATTATCTGAGTGCACTGTTCTCCTCCCCATATAAACAAATTTCATAAGTTGTTCACTCCGAACCAACTTTGGATGACAAAAGTTTTTAGTTAATTAGCTCCTAATCAAAACACAAATGTCTATGTGCATTATGATTTAGTTATTTCCAGATAGATAGTACTAGGTTATGTATGTTCAAGTTGTATTAAATTATATTAATCACTTGGAAAAAATACTCAACTCGTTAACCTATAATTGTTCAAACTAGATTTAAGTTGTAGTTAATAGTAATTTGTTAGCTAATAAATTACTTTAATAATACTTCACTGACTTGCAATTAATATAAATTATTATAACTTCTTAACTAGTCTACTTTTTATTGATTTTATCTAATGAATTTTCATCCTACATTTATTTAGGTTTGGTGCTACACAAGCTCTTAACTCTATCTTTTGCTAGTGTTTATTGCACAATTTACATTTTTGTTCCGCCTGTTTCTTCTTGATCTTTTCACTTTAGTTATGTATACTGTTCATCTTCTACTTTTCATAGTATATGTCCAAATCATAAGATTTAGTTCTCTGTTTAAAATTGCGCAACGCTGCGCAATTTTTGCCAAAAACGCCTTGAGGCGAACGCAATTCAGGGAGATGTTGAGGCGTACGCCTCACAGTAGCTGAGGCGCGCCTCTATTGCGTTATTGCGCAATTTATAGAGAGGCGTACGCATATTCATATCTCACTCTACACTTGATTTACCTCAATTCTGCAGCACAGCTTGGCTACTAATGATTTTTTTCCCAAATACTAGAGATCCATTTGCCAGAGTTAGTCCCTTTTAGTTTTAGGAATTATATTGAAATACATACAACATTGAATACTGGTTATGGATGCATTTCTATTGTATAAATAAAATAATCAAATGTTAGAAATTGTTGGGATGAGTAAGGTTTAGCGATAGGGTGATTGCTATTAAGATAATTATTGGCAGTGACTTTATAAAGTTGATTCATGCATATACCTTTTAAAGTTGGTTTAAAAAATAGTAGAAAAATCAATTTTAGGAAGAGATGGTGAATACCCAAGGAAGAAATGGTGAAATGGCTTACATGGGCATATGTCTTATAATAGGATGGTTATGTGAGGTTCATGGTAACTGTGGAGTAAGAGATAAATATGTAATGTGACGCAGCCTATAATTTTGGAATAGTGAAGACAAATTTTATGATTGGAGAAGAACACGTAATTACTTTCAAAAGTGGAGCTACTAAATTGCAAATATATTTCTTTTTTACTTGGGATGGAAAACTTTTTTGTAAATATTGTAAAGTGACTTTAGTAGAGAGTTTGACCATGTGATATAGAGTACTAATTCTGTATTTATTCTTAAGAGTCTAAAGAAAATACTTAAAAGATGTAAATGCTTTAGGATAATGTGACATAATTTAGAAGGTGAAAAAAAAAATCTTTCAAGATAGATTCTTAAGAGAGTCAGATTGAAATTCTTCAATTGAACCAAACCGACTGTAGGATGGATGTCATTATGAAGATTGTTGTAGCAATTTTATGAGAATCTAGAAATAGATTGTACATTGATAAAAAGATTTGTTAGTGGAGTGAAGAGATGTAAAGTTTTTATTGAAAATAAATGTACTTTTAGACAGTAAAAAAAGTTAAATACTACTCAGATTTATAATATTTGAATAAAGCTTTACAAAGAGTGTATTGAGCAAAATAAAATTTATATAATAATCTTTGCATCAAGAAAGGTGAAAAGATCTAGGGACTTTGATGAAGTTAGACTTGTTGGAAGTGAAGATAAGAGTTGGAGTTAAAGATGTTGACATCAAATAAAAAGATAGAAATGCTTATTAAGTTAGAGTCTTAGGAAGAAATTATTTTGGATGAGTACGATGTAAAAAATGATGAGATATGTAATACATAATCTAAAAAAGTGATGTTAGCTTTGAATAAGTACATATTAAGTTTTAGGTCAATACTAGATGCCTATTGATATTCAAAGAGTTATGGGGATGCTCTAGTTGTATTGTTAGCAAATTTTTTCTATTTAAATGTTGACAATTAATATGATTCCAAATGATTGGAGATGAAGTATTTTGATATGAATAGTTAGGAAAGGAAATATTCATGATTGTGTTAACTAGACGAGAATTAAACAAATGAATCAAACATTGAAGTTATAGAATACTGCAATGGAACATTTACTAGAAATATTACATTAATTTTGATTTATGACAGGAGATCTACTATTGCGGTACATTTGTGTGTTAAAATAATTACTTGAAAAGCATAGAGAGTAAAGAAAATATCTTCATTTGATTTTTGTTGAGCCTGAGAATGCATAAGATCAAGTACAGCTATTATAAGAATTAATTTGGCATGTAATTAAAAGGTATATTGAAGTTATTAAAGTTAAGTATGATGGAGCACTAACTAGTATTGTAAATGGTCGTAGTTTCTAAAGAGTTTTCAATTACACTAGGATTATATCATGTACCAATACTGAGTCAATAATATTTTTGTATTAATTATGAAGATGATTAGAAGGATATTTAAACTATGGTATCTTGGTGGATGTTTTTTGTAAATGTAGTTATCGCTAGCAATTTATCTTCCAAAATAAGTGGATAGTTAGAGTAGTAAAAAAAAGAAAAAGAAAATTGTGATTTATAATTAATAGAAATTGATTATATGATATGCAAATTCATCGGTTTTAATATTTGATAATTATCAATCAATATTATTAGAAGATAATGTGATATATGTAAATTTTATAAAATTGTTAATAGGTAGGAATTATATGGATCCAAGTATTGACAATAAAAAAATCGTTGATAGCTAAATTTAGCATAACAAAAATGATTTTGTTAGGATGAATGTTAGACAAAACTTGAAAGGATAAATCAAAGAATATGATTATATTAGATAGATGATTGTTTAAGATGAAGTAATTGAAAATAAATTTGGATTATTTGATCATGTATAATAAAGGCTGAAAATTGCACTCATTAGATGGTTAAAAAAGACCAGTGTCAGATGATTTGGAATGAGGAAGGATAGATATAAGCTAACATCTATGTTGCACCGATACGGATTTGATGCGATATGGATAGGGGACACGTCAATTATTAAAAGTACAGTATACGGGTACGGCATGGACACGACATTGTAGTTTATAAATCATACATTAAAATGAAGAAAGCAAGTAAAGCATAATATTTAAAATGACAAAAAATATTAAAGCAACACCATATTTAGTCTTTAACATAAATATAAACTGTATAGTGCGTGGTTAACTATTCAGTGGAAGGAATGATAAGATTAGCTTCTTCAGGGATTTGTCTTTAGACTTTTATATCATCTCCAATAAATATCATTGATTCCAATTCAGGCTTATCAAGTGAAAGATCAGTAATCTCCAATATTCCCATATTATCAAGGGACTCAAATCCATCTCTAGCAACAT